CAACTCCAACACCAACTCCAACACCAACTCCAACACCAACACCAACACCAACTCCAACACCAACACCAACAGCGCTCTGCCTCTCCAGGCAGGCCTGGAGCTCTGGGGCCCTGTGTCCCAATCCACTCATCTCCAGCTCTGGAGAGACTTGGCGTCAGGTTGGCTGGGGGCACCCACATAGCCCTGTCCTGCTCACTGAGTTCACCCAACAGCCCAGTCTCCAGGGTCTCCTCCTGCATCAGAAGATGAGACCCTCTTTATATGACTAAGGGGCTGAGTCCATCCCGAAGAGCCTCCGAAGAAAGGCCTGGCAATCTGCTGGTTGAAAATCGGCCAATGGGAACCCTGTGGGGCAGACACATCATTCTACTCTACACACACACACACACACACACACACACACACACACACACACGGCCATCGACTTCATGGCCACTGCCATGCTACCTTTGGAGCGGCGGCCCAGGGCGCAGTCAGGACTCTCCCCAGGTCAGTCTGTGCAATACGCAGTATGCAGGAGCCAAGGCACGACTCACACCCCAGCTGTTTCCAGCCTACGAAGCCCGCCCTTCCACTACCCCACAATTCTGAATCAGGGAAAAGGCTATCCTCTGGGAAACCGCAGGGTGAGGATGAGAAGACAATGTCAAGTGCGACAAACTTGTGAGAGCAAGTCCACACAAAGATGGGTCAGCAGGGGGTGCTGTCCACCCAGCAAAGCGGGTCTGCTTTCACATGCAGACCCGGGTTGTTTGTTACCTATCCTTATCCAAGGAATCCTGGTGGCGGGATGGGCAAGCATTCCACCCAGCAGCCGGTCCACCAGAGGAAAGACCTGGTGAACGGCGCCCATAAACACGACAACCTACGGAGCTGTTGCGGAGGGGGGGGGGGGGGGGGCTTAAATGGAGAGCAAATGTCTTGAGAATGATGAAGGCAATGAATGTACAAATGTGCTTTACACAATTGATGTATGGATGGATTGTGTTAAGAGTTGTATGAGCCCCTAATAAAATGATTTTTTTTTTTTTAAAAAGAGGACAACCTACGGGGCAGCTGTACTGTCTTCTAGGGTCTCGGGTTGAAATTCATTTCACAGCGCCCACAAACGGCCAATCTATAGGTGGGCAGCTCCAGCGCGCTCCGTCTTGTTGCTAGGTAAAAAGGCTGGTGATGACCTTCCCCTAGGATCGCAGGCCAGAAACCACGTGGAGCAGTTCTGCTCTGTAACACATGGGGGCGCCGTGCGTCAGAACTGAGGAGCACAGCTAACAGGGACACCAGAACACAGTTAAAGCGTTTCCCGTGAAAGCGCTTGCTAGCCATAAGCAGTCCCAGAGAGCGTTCGCCAATAAAACTCTCCTTTTAAATTACCAAATAAATACAGGTCGCCCACAATAGGAAACACATAGTGGCTTCACAAATGCACCGCCAAAGACGCTTCTACAACAAACCTACTAAGCAAAGGTCAAGGTTTCTGGACAGTTCTTTTTTTCCTTAGAAAACATAAAGAAAAAGAAAACGGGTCTTCTGCTCTGGCTTCGGCAGCACATGGACTAAAATCAGAACGATATACAGAAAATGAGCATGGCCCTGTGCAGGGATGACACGCAAATCCGTGAAGTGTTCCCTATTAAGAGAGAGAGGTTCTCACACCAAAAGATGACTTTAAGGACTAGGAGAAGGCCTGGCCCAGAGGTGGGAGCTGGGAGAGGGAAGGGACAGAAAACTAGGGAGGGAGGGACCGTGGGGGACAAAAGGAAAAGAAAGAGCCACTCAAACAAACTGAAAACGCTCACTGCCATGGAGTTAATTCTGACTCATGGCGACCCTAGGTGTGTGTGTGTGTGTGTGTGTGGAATAGGATACTGTTAATGATTTGATTATCTGGGCTGTGTAATTACATAGAATATGTTTCTCTATATTATAGTTCACAAACAAAAGGGGAAATTTTAAATATATATATCTATCAAAATTAATAAAGTTAGGATGAAAGAGAAGAAGGGTCCCAGCCTTAAAACCTCTCCAGACTCCTCCTCCATCTGATCTAAACATGGGTCTGAGTGGCTATACAAGGAACACTGAAGTGGACTTAGATTCTTTAGTGACAGTCAAGTTCCTTTAAAAGGAAGAAAGAAAGAAAGAACGAAAGAAAGAAAAAAGAAAATGAAGGATGTAAAGTTGGATCACAAGCCATTTATCTGAAGTGTGTGGGCATGCTAGGAACGTGATCGATATGTGCATTGTTTCTGTTTGTAGATATGTTTCTTTATTCTGTGGTGGTGGTGGTAGGGTGAAAGCTCACAGAGCAAATCAGCTTTCCACTAAACAGTGTCCACATGCGGTGTTTTGTGGCCTTGGTAGCCTCCCTTCCCGTCTGTGTAACAGCGCTCCCCCCCTTCCTCCTGGGCCTGTTTCCACGTGTCCTGTCCTGTCCCTGTCTGCCCAGCGAGCTTTGTTTGGGGGCAGATGCTGCCCCTTTGGTCTCCCGACGTTGCTTGTTCTGAGGAACGCAGGCCTCTCTAGTGTTACTGTCCACCACGTGGCCTGTCCAGGTCATCATCTAGTGGCTCAGTCACTGGCTACTGGAGGCAGTGGCTCATGTGGCCCATAGTTGTCCTTCCCCTCCTTTGCTCCAGACGGGGAGAGCAGTAGGTGCATCTCAGATGACTGCTCTCATGGACGCATTTTCGTTTTCTTGAACTTCAACCTGAACTTAGATATAAGCGATTGCTGATAGTGAGCTTCTCCACAGATTCGTCCTATAGGATATAGACCAGGTGATTCCTGCAGATTATATTTGGTACATTCATGGTATTTTCAACTCGTCATTTCCACATGAAAGTTGGGCCACGAATAAGCCAGGCCAAAGGAGAGTTGATGCATTTGAATTATGCTGTTGGCAAAGAATACTGGAAGTACCACGGGATGCCAGATGAACAAACAAATCTGGCTTAGAGGAAGTACAGCCAGAACGTTCCTTAGAAGTGAAGATGGCAAGACTTCGCCTCATGTCCTTTGGACATGTTGTCAGGAGACACCAGTCCCTGGAAAAGGACATCATGCTCATAAAGGCAGTGGAAAAAAGGAAGGCCTTCAACAAGATGGATTGACACCGGGGCTGTAGCAATGGGCTCAGGCACAGCACAATTGTAAGGCTGGAGCAGGACGGAGCAGTGTTTCCTTCAGTTGGGCATCGGCTCACTATAAGGCAGAAGCAGACAACAGATGGCTGCTTGCATGCTTTTAAGACCCCAGTTGCTACTAACCCAAGTGGGATGTAGAATATTCCCTCTGTGGACGCTATTGCACCAACTCAGAGTTTCTATCTGATTTGGAGTTGGCTTTCACCTCTTGTTTGGTTTAACTGTACTTCTTGAATGCGCAGAATTTCCCTGATTCAAGTCATGAGACACACACACCCTTCAAAGTACTTCAAAGAGCAGCTGCCTTCGGGAGACCTCCCACTCCCAGCGTGCAGGCCCCCACCCTGTCACACTCAGACTTGCTCTTGCCCCTCTGCCTGTCCCGAAGTCCCAGGGACACTGCTGACCTCCTCCCTGCACCGCCAGCTGCCTCCTGGTGCCACTCTGCATTCTGAATGCCAGGTCAGGGGTCAGATGGCATCTGAGCCCCGTGAGACTGGTCATCTGATGTGGCCTGTCCTGGGCGGGAATGGCTCCATTGGACCAGGACCTAGGCCTTCTGAGCATAAGGCCTCAGGCTGGAGGGTGTGGCGGGGGCTTTCGCCACTCCTGACCTCTTCCACCACCAAGCACTGGCCGAAGTGTGTCCATTTCAATCCTCTTAACGGCACCGGGGGAAAGACACGGGGGCTCGGGAGGGTTAAAAGACCCGACAGGACTAACCTAAAGCCAGTTGCCCTAGAGGGCCTTCTGACTCATGGCGACCCCAAGTGTGTCAGAGACCTGCTCCAGGGGGGTTCCCAATAGCTGACTGGTTGCCAGGCATTTCTTCCGAGGCCCCCCGGGTAGATCCCAGCCTTTCTGCTGGCAGCCATGGGCATGAACCATGTGCACCACACAGAGACTCCAGGTCCGTCTTGCAAGAAGAGTGTTATCCTCCCCCTCCCACCAATCAATATCATCTCAAGTTCCCCGCTTCCCACCGCAGCGACGACTTCTGGGCCCCCAGTCAGCAGCACGAGAGGAACCTTGTAGCTCTTCCTTCTCCTTCGCGCCGGCACCCAGTCTGTGGGCCCGGAGCCCAGGCCTGGGGGCTAAGAGACCGGCAATGGGCAGCCAGCGCAGCTTGCCCTCCCAGCGCCTGCAGCGCCCCTGGATGGTGGGGTGAAGCGATTGCCGGAGATGCGCCAAATCTCACACCCAGCTTTTAGATCACGTCACCAAAATTCCAGCTCCGGACTTCGATGTGGAGCGGGGGCGCATGTGAACTCATCGCGAGGGAGGGCGCGGGCGGAGTCGGGCGATTGGAACCAGACAAAGAAGGAACTGGAGCCGGTGGGGGCCCTGTGCGCGGTTCCGTCAGAGCCAAAGATGGCAGTGAACCTCATCACCAGCGATTGCCCGAGACGACCCAGCGTGCTGGCTGGGATCAAGGGGTCCCTGCAGCTGAATCTGACAAAGACCGAACAGGTGCTCAGGGGTTGCCGATTGCCTGTTGATGGACACGCAGGTTCAAATTTCTGAAAAACAATAATGGCAACATATGTACAAATATGCTTGATACAATTGATATATGGATTGTTATAAGAGCCCCCAATAAAGTGATCTTTTAATAAGAAAAGAAGTTTCTTGATGCAAACCACAATGACCCTTAGCTCCCAGACAAGGTCAGGAATCGGAGGTGGTCCCTTCGCTCTGACTGTGAAGAAACCCCTGCGCACTAGCAGTGCAGCCCCCAGAGCCCATTGCAACACGGGGAAGTGCCGAACCTGCTAAAGCCGCCAGGTGTGGTGAGGAAGGGTGCCATGTGGGTCACCGGGACAACAACAATGAGAAACAACCGACTGGATGTGACAGGTCAGCGTCCAGAAGCTTTGCATTGAAGCTCTGGGGAAGGAGAGGGGTCTACTTTGGGAAGCCGAGTTGATCTGCCAGGAGAACGAGGGGAAACGACCCGGTGCTGCAGAGGCCAGGCCGGGGGACATTCTCAATACCACCGGTGAAGGCTTTGTGACACCAGGTGAAGAGGCCTGCAGGAGGAGCAAGAAGGGTGTGAACAGCCTGGCCCAGCAGAGCGCATCCGAATTCTTCACTGCGAAACCCTCCCTTTTATGATTCTTGGAGGACTCCCTGGTTTCTTTTCATAAGCAAAAAAGTACCTCTTCTTAAAGCGCACTCGGCAGAAGGCTCACTCCTTTCCCATACATTGCAGCGAGGAGCTTTCTGCCTGGCAGCAGAGCGTACTCACCTCGAGCTGGCTCACGCAGAGAGCAGAGGCTGACCACAGGCTCGCCACGCGCTTGCCGGAGAGGGTGTCAGCGGCCATAGAGAAAGACTGGATGTGGAGACCCAAAGCCCATCAGTAGGCCACTGGACATCCCCTTGCAGAGGGGTCTCAGGGAGGAGATGAGCCAGTCAGGGTGTGATGTAACAACGATGAAAAATACAACTCTCCTCTAGTTCCTAAATGTTTCCTCCCCGCTCCCACTACCATGACTCAAATTCTACCTTGCAAGTCTGGCTAGACCAGAGGATGTACACTGGTACAGATAGGAACTGGAAATCCAGGGAATCCAGGGCAGATGAGCCCTACAGGACCAGTGGTGTGAGTGGCGATACTGGGAGGGTAGAGGGAGAATGGGTTGGAAAGAGGGAACCGATTACAAGGAACTATATGTGACCTCCTCCCTGGGGGACAGACAACAGAAAAGTGGGTGAAGGGAGACGTCGGACAGGGCAAGATATGACAAAATAATATTTTATAAACTATCAAGGGCTCATGAGGGAGGGGGGAGCGGGGAGGGAGGGGAAAATGAGGACCCAATACGGGGGTTTAAGTGGAGAGAAAATTTTGAGAATGAGGAGGGCAATGAATGTACAAATGCGCTTTACACAATGGATGTGCGTATGGATTGTGATAAGAGTTGTATGAGCCCCTCATAAAACGATTTAAAAAAACAAAACAAAACAAAAAGAGAAAGACTGGATGGAGGTTCCTTTAGGGATGGCACACATTCCTTTCACAAGGCAGTTCTACATGGAATTTGAAGAGCACTTTGCTTCTTATTTTACAGAGGAGCTTGAAACAATATGAACTTTGAATCCGTGGCCATCCCAGAACACAGCCAAATCGAACCCAAATAGATGCGCTCTAATTTGTTCAGAGGCTGAAAGGTGATGGTGATGACCAAAGGAGGAGGGGCGCCGATGGAGAGGGGTGATTGCTGGTGCAGCTAACCCCCCACTTGGAACTGCAGGGTCATGGAGCCATGGGTCCCCTTCCTGCTGGACCTGGTGCCGCGAACGCCCTTGACTCCATACCAGGTCTTTGGGATCCATGAAAACAATCACAAAGCTGCAGTGAGTGCCTTCCTTCCCAGCTTCCAGGGCAAAGTTCTTGCACCAACCTCCCCAGTGCTTTCATAGCTCCACCTTACAACCGCAGCTTGTGGCGGCTGTTTCTGCCAGGAACTCCACTCGCGGGGGTGGTCC